ATTCACAATGAGTGATGGAAAAATAATGTCTTGAATGATTCAAGTTGGCCTTGTTTATTTACTTACAATGTACTGCAGTCTATCTACATTTTACAGCCATTAAGTCATTTTTCAGCAACAGGACAAAAGCAGAAAATACATATTTAACATAAAAATACATATTTTCTTTTTTGTTCAGTATTTAATGTGTCCACGCTTTGCCTTTATTACAGCTTCCATTCTTTTCGAGAAACTTGTTTTCAGTTTTTCAAAGAAATCTACAGGGATATTTTTCAAAGTTCAGCCACAGACGTTGGTTGCATGTTCTGTTTCTCTCAACTCAAGTAATCCCAAACACATTCAGTGATGTAGAGGTCTGGACTCTAGAGAGGCCATTCCATCATTCTGAGAACATCAGCAGCTTCATTGTTTGATTTGCAAATGTTCTTTTTTGACAGTGTTCTCTCAGTAACAGCTTTTTGACAGCTACACATCCTTTCAGACCCATAGGTTTGAGGTATATTCTCACAGTGGAAGGATGGACAGAAACACCTGTGGATTTTTTTTTTTCAAATCTGAAGCAAGAGTGAAGCTTGATTTTCTCCTCTCTCAAAGAAGAAAAAGTTTATCTGATAGTAACAGTTTTGGTGGTCTGTCAGGTCTGGTTGTTAGGAGTCCCATGTTCTCTGTATCTTTTAATAATTGTTGAACTCTAATTTTGGAAATTCTGTTTTCTTCCACTTATTTTACTTTGACTTTCCCCTTCATCATGCAAGTGGATTATCTTATATCTAATCTCCTAAAAAATAAATAACTTGTACTTAGTTGTCATTTTGACTGGAAATCAAATAAATGAGAGGTGGTCTCTGACTTTTGCACAGTACTATAGAAACTCAACAAATCACATTTTACACTGTGAATAAAAAGAAAACAATATTTTGTACTGCCTGTTAGACTACAATTACCTTCTGAAATTTCACTTTAGATAAATGCACAAACACTAGAAGGCATAGTGGGGTATTCTTTCTATCTCAGAGGGGGGGGGATGACAGAATGAGAGAGATATTAGTAAGCTGCCAATTTTGTGAAATGTACCCAAAATGAATTAGAGGTAATTGACAGATTTAGACCATCCATTTGATTTGAACTCTGATATATAACAGGAATGGGGGAAAAACTCATTAAATGACGTTTGTATTACAGCAAGCAATGTCTACATGCCAGGCTATCCCTTGATTTTTTTTTTTTCACATTTCTGCAGTAATGGACAGCTTTCACACCTAGGTGTTACTAGGCAGATTCTATGCAGGTTACCTTTTTGTGACACTGCATGCTTTTAGCAGAGTCCACTCCATTCTGATCAATTTGGCCCAATTAAAATGCTTTACATTCACTAGTGCATGTTTTCCAGAGGCATTTCAAATTATCTCTCATAATTAGACGCAATGACATCGCCAACCTACAGAAGCCTTTGTTTTTGAATTAGCTTTATACCACATCAATTCAGAATGTGAGAGAGGTCATCTATTGCACAAGTCAACTCTGAATTCTTCTATTGGAGAGCGACAATTACTGTCACTGGCAGGGGTGACACAACGTCTTGACATTTGTTTGGGAGACAGGCTGTGTCCAATTCCCCCTTAATCTTGGGCTTTGAAGAAAAGCTTTCAGAGGACTGCTTCTCATCAAGCCCCACTCCATTTTACTTTATTAACGTTTCTAACACAAATTTAAAAAAGGGAGGGTTTTGCACCTTTTTATCCACTTGACAGCACTTCACTAATTGCTTCTCCCTCTCTCTCTCTCTTTATCTCCCACTCTCGCTGACACACACATGCGCAGAGACAGTCACATGAATACGCTGCACAAAAAATGCACACAAGAACATATCCCTATATGCACACTGAAAGATAATTATGTATAGAAATAAATATAACACTTCTGAAGTGGCATAAATGTGCTAAAATTATGTCTCAAACGTTCACATTTTCAGAGTCAACACTGAGTCCAAAAGGGGACTACAGCCACTTTACTAAGCATCTTAGAGGAGGACTGTATCCTACCATTGCATACAATTACTCTACACTTCCTCTGCTTTGCATTGCTAAGGGGTAAAATAAAGCAAGTCTGATATAGAGGCAATAAGGATTGCCTTTTAGATAATGCTAAACATGCTCAGTTGTAATATTGTTCCCTTGCAGATTCTAGAATTTTAGATTTTTCCTATTAAGAATCCAGATCATTACTTGCAAATTGCACATTCAACCTTTTTGATATACCAGTGTCAAAATGATACCTCAATGATGCTAACCATAAGTGTCCATTTGCTGGAACAATGATAAAAGCTTGGTCAAATTCACTTTCCTGATGGCATAAACCTATTATAAAACAAGTGACCATTGAATTAACACAGAGAACTTGAAAGCTTTTATACTCTGATGTAGAATACATTCAGAATAAAAATTAATTCACCTCATTTGCAATTGCTCTGGGACTCTCTTGAGCCTCACGGAGACAATTTGCTCAGAAAAAGGAGGAGGATCTTTATTGTGCGCTTACAAAAAAAAAAGTGTCTGGGTGCACACGTCTTTATATCCAGTATTTACTGCTGAAGTCATTTTTCTGCTGCAAAGAATGAGAACAATGAGAGAATGTATGGAATAGGCCATTTTGTGCTCATTCACAATAGAACACACTGGGTTTTCAGTGTATATACAAGGCTTTAAAAGAAATCCAGGTTAAATTCACTCCTGGACATTGCTTTAAAGTCATTCCCGATTCTGAGAAAAGTGATCAAGAGTGACAGGTATAAGAATAAATGTCAGAACGAAAAAATAGGCGCCGAATGCAGATAAAACCAAACAGGGCATTCAACTGAGCTGAAGCGTTCCTGATTTTACACAGGAGACAAAACAGAGCCTTCAGCAGGGACAATTTGGAGACTATTTGTATAAGCTGTTTATCAAATTATTGAAGAGACAGATGTTTCTGACTGCTCCACGGCTGCACCCTGGATCTCCTAGACACAGAAACAAAGGTCTGAAGGAATCATTTGTGGTGTGCCCGGAATATCAATTCAGTTTACTGCTGTTAATTCACATGCAAATTTTGACCTCTGTTAAGGCATATCAATTACCCTACATACAGTATCTGAGGGACAAGATGTACCGGGAAACGAGGGGAATAACAAAATATGGACAAATTGTAATAATGCAAATATTTTTTCATGCATGCATAATTCAGAATTCCATGCATTTATAATTTGTGATAGAACAAAATGAAAAAATATATATCAAACTAGTGGTAATAGCCCTTGCTGTATGAATCCCTCACTATAGAGACATGTGTTAATCTATGGCTGACATACAAATCTACCAAGACCCGAATTCCTGATGATCAACTGTAAAGATGAAAACTGTAGTTTTGAGAAAGGGTTGGAATACTGAAGCTGATGGTAGAGTTTCTGGATAAGTTAGAAATGACTTATAAGATACTGAATTCCAATAATTGTCAATATGCATATATTTTAAAATCAAACACAGTAACAAAGCCAACATTTCTAATTTTCTCTTTTAGGGTCTTACTCACTTCAAGTGTTCTGTTTTAATGTCTCATTCTTATGAGCAATATCTAAACCTGCTCCTGTGTTATGAGTGCTTAGTGAGTGACACATTTGTCAAGGACTGATTACTTTGGATCTCAGCGGAAGCAATGTTGGCTCTCAGGGAAAAAGAACAGCGTTTCAAATCTCACTGTTATCACCTCCAAAATAGTGCCTTTCAGCCTCGCCTTGCAAACAAAGAGCCGTGCAACAATATCAATTATACATGCAGGAAGCAAACAAGAGGATTTATTAGCCAACAAATAGTCTCACAGAGTGACCATGAATGGAGGAGATTAGCATGTGAAAAGCACAGCAAAACTCCCTGGTTCAACAGCTAAAGAGCAATTTGATGGGGCTGGAATTGGGGAAATTGCTTGGTTAGAGCCCACGTTGGGAGGGATCAGAATAGAGCACCTCAGCTACAAGACAGAGTAATATAAAACACGGGGGCATCAGCTGTCAAAACATGGAATGACTGTAACTAAGCAGTGAAAAACACTGGCCTAGTAAGGCAATGATTACCAAACTAGAACCCCAAAAGTCCTCAAGGCTGCAATTATAGGGTCCACAGGAACATCTGTTTGTTCTTTAATGAAACTTCTGTGCACTTTCTGTGGGTCATATTTATACCACTCTGGCAGAAAAGGGATACTGGGCACTAATAGGTGAGAATTCAGACAACATTCCCAAAATTAAAGATGCTGAAAAGCGTTCTTTGGAGCAATGCCATAGTAGAACCAACTCCTTTAAATAAAAAAATTTTGTAAATGGGATGTTATTATTATTAGGTTATTATTACTGCTGTTAACCAATGTAAAGTCTACTATGTTATAGCAAATGTCACGATAAGACTTCATATAATATTGTAATCGAATACTGAAGCAACTATCCTAAGAACATGTTTCAGATCATGGCTGAAAGATATTTGAAGACAATCAATATCAAAATAAATGACCAACGTATGGCAGGGTTCTGTTAAACAGGAGAGAAACGTGTTCCAGCACTTTCTTCAAAACACTCCTCTTGTCATTCTACCACCATTACTACTGAACTCAAGTAAAATGGCAACAGTAACCCAGGGATAGTGATTTCAGTGTGCCCTTTCTAAGAGAATTCTATTATAGTAACACAGACTGTCTGGGAAATGGAAGAAGCTGCAACCACATATTATTAGTTGCTAGAATAGGAGAGCAATTTACAGTAAGTGGGTTCAAATTCTATCTATCTCATCTTAGTGAAACTGTGAAAATCTGGAAGATTACTACCTAAACTGAATCACAATCGGCAGCCAATAGTGTCACCTCCGTATCCTTGTCAATGCCCCTCACTCACCTCTATCGACTTGAGAGACACTTACCTTCCTGCACTAAGCATCGAACTCACAGTTACTTGCCTGTGTTCTAATAGAAAAGCCCAACGAGCTCCTGGAACATTCAGCTTTTTCCTTTGCACTGTAGATATGTGAGACAGACATCAGTGGTAGTTCTTTTTGATGAGGGTCAGTAGTCTCTTCAGCAAGTTATTTTTCTCTGCCATGACTTCAAGGAAATCGGGATGTTTACCTGCTGCCTGGACTTGGGGTCATGAAGGAGAGCGTGTGGATGGGCTCTCAGAGTGGCTTACAGGGCAGATGATTGGAAAAGGATATGATGAAATAGAGCTCATGAAGTAGAGCTTTACACATCAGGCAAGCTTAAGCACCTGTCTCTGTACAGCTCCAATACCTAAGAAGGCAGAGGAAGTCACTGTTGACATTGTTGTATGGTGGGAAAGGGTTCAACATATAGTCGACCTTGTTTTTTGATTTGTTGTTATTATTATTATTATTATTATTATTATTAATAATAATAATAATAATAATAATGGTTGTTAATATTAATGTTATAATTTTTATCATTCAACATGAGATTCTACGACAGTCAAATATACAACTTATTTGTGCCTGTATGAAAGTTCAAATATTTTATTTGCTAATTGCTTTGTAGAGAGGGATATTTACTTTAATAATTAATCCATCTGATATACAGAAATAGGCTATGTGTAATTTCTATGTGCTTTTTAATGTAAAAGCAGTTTACTTTCTGAGCGATTACCAGAAAAGCTAGTAAACGAATTAGCATGTACTGAATAGCAAGCTGAATTAGAAAAAAATTATTCTCTCTAACATGAAGTACACAATAAACTCTTAATTTCCGTAAACCATACAATGATTAGACACAGCAAGAAAACCCTATCTTGTATTTCTGAAGAACTGGACCAAAAATTATTCCAAAGCAGCTGCGGCCATTTTGGCTAAACTGTCGCTATAAGAGCAAAACAGTCCTAAGATTTCTGTTTCTTAAAAAAATCCATTATCACAACAGGCTTCATGTTCTTACTCACCCACAGTGTAACTTGAAGTCACTTTAAACAGCTCAAAAGAAGGACGCATTCTATATTTTACCAAATAAAAGTGCGCGTCGACCGAGGAAACAAAATAATGTTTTTTCTTTTCTTTAGTGAAAGTGACGTATGTTGTTTTCTTAACCGCTTTTAGCTGAAAGACCGTAGGATGAAACTGAATAACCAAAGAAATGGCGTTCACGTGAACGGCGCAGTGCGCGCGTTCACGGTGAAAGCGTGTCTGCTTGTTTACAACTAGGAAACCTGGGTAGCGGTGAGCATGGCAACGAGCGTAAACACTGTACCGGCGCTGTTCGGGGCTAAAAACGGATGATCCAGCTGACCTGCAATGGCTTTCTGCAGTACCGAGTACTTCGACACAATTGGATCTATTCAAAAGAGCATACACGAAAGGTAAGAAGTGTTGTTTCATACATTATTCCCTAACAAAGCTGTGTGAGGCAAGAGTGCAGTAAGGCCGCGAATGAACCCGCGGAGTGAGAGTCCAGCCCTGCCCGATTTTAGGCTGTCTAGGCTCCCCTCGCCATGGTTGGTCTTTAGCCTGCTGTCGTTAGCCTGCCAGCAAGAAGCTAAAGCTAATTTTAGCTGCTCAGAGCCAGAGCTGGAAACGTCTAGCGTCTAGCTTCACTTAATCATATTTGCTAAGACGATAAAATGGTTAAATAGCAATAGCAACTAAAACGTTATGTTTTTTATTTATTTATTTTGAATGTTGGCTAAGTTAACGGTACCTAGCTAGCTAATTAGCTAGCATCCTGCATATTTTATATTCACATCCCATGCATGGAACTGCTGTAGTTGGCGCGACTGGCTAAGTAAACGTGGGGAGGAAAGTAGCTAGATGACTAGTTTTTCTGAGCAGTTTTGGCTTTTAGTCTCACCTTTTAACAATCAAACAAGTGGACCACTGCGATGTTTCAGGTGCCGCTGCCTTCAGGTCGGCTACAAGTCCGTGCCGTGAGCCCTGGTTCGTTTGCTTTTACTGTGGCGAAAGATCTCGTTCAGTCTTGTTTTAGACCTACGTTTTGTTGTCCTACAAATTTGTGGATCATTATAAAAGCAGAGAGAGAGAAAAGTCCAAAATAATTGAACAGAGATAATTAATGAAGAGGGTGAATAATTGAACAGAGATAATTAATGAAGAGGGTGATGTCTTCTCTTTAGGGAAAAGAGGAGGCATGAGCTGGAGGAAGAGCTGTTTGCCTACTCAAGATCAGAAGACAGACTGTGAGTGTTCTGCTTCACTTTAATGTAATTTTGCTTGTCTGTTGTGTTAAATATATTGCGTAAACCAGTTCGAACAATGTGGCTCTACCGTTTTCATTACCATCAAAGCCTAATCTGAACCACTAAAAAAAAAATGAACATGAAAGATTCAAATGTAGAATGCAGAGTTATTCATACAGCACGCTCAGAACAATGCACTACAATGGGAATTGTATGTGTCAACAAATATTAAATATTAATATTTGATGTACCTTTATAGTGATAGACGTTTGTTTGTCTATTAATTCAGTTGTTTTTGCCCTTATGTACTTCCCATATGTTATGCTGTTTGAATGGGACTTCACCTAGAAACTTTTGTTTTAGGACAATTAGATGACTCTCTAAAATATAGCCTCTTCCCTCTCATGGATGATATGATGGCACTTAACACAAGTGCCTGGAGACCCATTTGTTTTTATATGGCCCCACCAAATTTCCACATGCAAACAAACATTTTATGATGATGTTAGGGCAGGAAATATGCACGAGGTTAGTGGATCAGCCTTTATGATTCAGATTCAGAGTTTACCCATAATTTTCCTTGTTGGCCTTTTTTTAGACACAAAACATTTTTGCTATGGAGTACCAATTAACAGATGTACCAAGCACCATTATCAGATATTTTTAGTTTGTCTCTAGGTTGACCGCCATTTTAGTTTCAGACTACTAAAACAGTGTTTGACATTAGCTGTTTGTAACTTAACATAATCAAGTTCCTATAAATAGTCCCATTTGTACAAGATGACACTTTTACCAAATATAGTAATGGGGTTCTTCAGTGTTCCTTATGTTGTTCACAGAGCCAAGCAAAAATATGCCAAGATGCGGCACTATCACAAGGAATTGTGTAAGAGAGAGCAGCAAGCAAAGACTCGCAACCTTGAGCTCCTGAGAAATGTCGAGAGCCTGGTATCAAATGCGAAGGAATTTTCCATTGACTACACTGTACTGCATCACTTGAAGGTAAAACCTTGGATAGCTTTTCTGTCCTTACTGTACTGGCATCTGCTCTGTAGAGTGCTGATATTTTTGTATCTACTTCACTGTTGTTATAGACAGGGCTTGCCATACAGCGGCTAGCTTTCATAAATTAAAGGTCTTTCGTAGGTATGATGAACCAGAGATTTTCTATTAACCTATATATATATATATATATATATGTTTTCTCTATAGATGATTTTTTTTTGTTAAGGACTGCTTGCAGCAGCCTTTCAGCACAGTTTTTCTTGGTTCATCACACTCAGATATAACATTTTATGTTCTGTGTGCTTTGGCCCTTATGAAAGTCAACAGACTGATTCAGCCTAATATATTTGTCATAGCAGCAAATTGCCCTGAAAGCAATAAAATCTTTCAAGACAAAGATTTTTTTCCTCATACACTGTAAGCTTCAATTAGCCTGCTGCCTATAATCCCATATCATTGTCTAATTCTCATCTGCTGTTTGAGCATTTACATTCGTTTTTGTTTAGTAACAATTGTAAACACTCTAACACTGCCATTTATCACTGCAAGGAAATGAGAAAAAGAAAACAATGGCTGTGGTCGATTATCACTTAAAACTGAACAGTGCTCAACAGCTTAATATCAAATTTGCCAATTTGTTTAATTACACCACCCCAAATTAATTGCCCACTATTGAGACACTGAAGTACCTCTGGTTTTCTCCCTCCCTGAAAGGAGACAGACTGTCTCTGTTTTATTATGTTTGGATTATATTTGTTTATTTTTTTTAATTAAAGAAAGGATTGTATTTATTAAGCATTGTTTAATGTTATTGATATGGTAGCTGTAATCTGCAATTGCTACAGATACCTGGTAAGAAGTAACCATAGATTGTTACCAAGCTAAACTGAATTAAATTACTAAATTGCCACAATTCTTTCTATTACCAAATTACCACAATGCTAACAAAGCTGCCATCTGCAGCACTGTCTTTTTCTTTCTTATTTCCTTTCTACAGTGCTAATATTTGTCTGTGTAACTATAATTATATGTCCACTACAGTTGCTATTACTGGTTTGGAAATCATGGCAAATAGATAACAGATTGTGCTTAGCAAGCAAAATGTTCCTTTTTTGTGGAGCTGCTATTGTCTTAGGGGAATGAAGTGGTTGGCTGGAGGTAATCCCAGTGCCCTCACTGCTGCCATTAGGCTGTTTAATTGAAGTTTGGATTAGGCCAGTCAGTCTGGCTAACCACAAAATTGATTAAGAGCCCTGGCAGGCAGTGTTAAGGGCACTCAGAAGGGAATACCCACACTGAGGGACACTACATTTTCAGGGATAAACATAAGCCTCTCTTTTCTTTTCTTCAAGTTCACTGTTTCCTCTGTATGGCTTTAAATATGCACTGTAGTTATGAAGGAACATCTAGCACACAAACAGCAATGTAGCCATTCAAAAGCCATGTAGTGAAATGTTATTTCAGTACTAGAAGGTTAACTCAATGCATTGCTGTTATAGGTGGTTTTAAAGACTTGCTGAGGTTTCATCAGTAATGAGTTGAATGTGTTGAATCATCTTGGCCGATGGTAATTTTGATGGAATTTCTTGCAGCTGGAATGTAGAAATCACATTACGAGAATTCTGGAGGAGAGGAACAAGAGGGGGAGTGCGAGGGAAGCACAAAAAGTAAGACAGATTTATCATGTCATCTTTTAGGATTACAATTTGGTGGAAATTTACAAAGCTATCTCTCAGCCTTTGATGAAACTATGATCTTATGATGGGATCCAATATAAAGTGTACCGTTTCACTTTTCAAAGAAGAGAAATGAGACTTGAGGAGAAAAATAGGCTAGCGTATCCATTATTCTGTGCAATTTTTCTCCTTCAGTAGACACTTTTTACAGTTTATATGGGGTATCAGTGTTCAAAGGCTACAATTAATTTATAATCAAAAGCAATTTGGGAAGTGCTTGAGGTAATTACTGTTTTGCTCACAACTTCAAATGGCTCTTTTACTTTAATAAAGGAGCATCCGAGTCTTTAAACCAAATTATGTTACACAATTTTTTTTTTATGAAGCTCTTGAAAAAGGAAAAAAATAGATGATTTTCTCTGGGCATTGTGCTAGCTACCAGTCATGAGACCACTGCTCCAGTGGAGTCTTTATCCATAACCACAGTAAACATTTGTTATTAACTATAGCTGTATCTGAATGAAATAAAACTGCTTCAATCTGTAGTCATGGAAAACCAAGGTTGCTGTTATGAAGCTCTTGAAAAGGGAAAAAAGGGGGGAAAAAAATCTGTGATGTTTTTTTCTCTGGGCCTCATACTAGCTACTAGTCATGCTAAGACCACCACACCATTAAGGTCTTTAAAGTCTTTTCCATGGCAATAGTAAACTGTTGTGCTCGCCAGCTGTGACTACAACAAACAAAACTACTCTTCGGTCTGTAGTGCTGAAAAACAGAAGTCGCCATTATGTAGATGGCTCAGTGGTGGTGGGGTGGGGTTGGAGGGGTGTCCATTTTTGCTGCCGTATCTGTGATGGCGCAGGTGTCTAATCTGGCCTGCTATGACCGTGCCACCGATGTAGTTCAAGCCTGTGGCTGCTTCTTTCCCTTACTTCAAGCGGTTTGAGCGCTTTCAGATGAAATGTGGAAGACAGCTCATAATGACTTGGAGCATGCTGTCTTGAGCAGTCACTTGTGACTGTGTGCCTGCCACCCTACCTCCCCACCACCCACCACACACACACGCTCCCTTCTTTCTCCCTCCCTCCCTCCAGCCTGGCGATATTGTAATGAGCAGAGATGGGAGGAATCACTCCATTATGCATACGCGCCACTGCTGGCTGCGTGCATGTCCCCGAGGCTGCAGCATTCATTAAGGGGAGCTTACCGGCCTGAAAGCTGGGAAGCCATGATAACGGGATATGATTTTCATATTTAATACATTCCTTGGAAGAGCAGGCGCGTGCCGCAGATTGATAGAAGAATCAATTGCTACTTTAGCGAAACACTTTCTACTTTGCCCCGCAGCTAGCGATGGAATCACTCAGCCAAGAAATTAACTTTTCCTCCCTCTCCCTCACTCTCTCTTCTCTCTCTTTTTTTTTTCTCTACCTCTGCGCTGGATCTGGCAGGCAGGCCGCACGGTTTACAGTGGATGTTATTAAGCAGCTAACTGTTTGGTATTTAAGACCCTTATCAGAAAAGAAACAGAAGCCATGCTTTTTGTTATTTTGTGCGGCAGATTTTTTTTTCTTTCCCCTCCACCACTCCGCAGTGCAATGGCAGACATGAATCAGAGCTCGGGAGCAAAGCACTGCTAATAAGATTAAAAGTTAAGACATTGATCTCAGTACACTCAGCTGAAAAAAGACAGTTGGAGAAGAAATCTAACCTTGGCCCAAATAGATCTCAGACAGTTGTTGAAAAGGCAAAAAAGTGGCACTTTTAAACACTTTTGAGTTGTGTTGGTTGGGAAAGGAGCTGATATAAACAGAATTGCTGGGTTTAGATTGGAGGAGCCACCAGGCTAGGACTAGGATCTGTTAAAAAAAAAGGATGGGTGGATGATATGGCATAAAATATGCTCCTAGTATAAGACATCTCTAAACTTCACGGCAAATTATTCAAGAGTTCAGAAATATTCATTCCTGCACTATAAAACATAAAGGCGCCAAAAAGGGTTCTTTGGTGCAGTGCCATAGAAGAACTACTTTGGCTCCCTAAAGAACCTTTCGAA